CTATAAGACCATGATATATATCACCAAAAAGAGTTCCATAAAAATCGGCTTAAATTTTTTTTTCAACAGTTAATTACAAGAAAACGGCTCAGTAGATTTTCACCTAAAACTAATCAGTATTATTCCCAACTAATATCTTTCGAACAGTTTTTGATTTTTTAAAATCGGTTCAGTAGGATGAGCTGAAATGTGGACGAAAAGTTTTCACTTTTTTTCAAATTACAAAGAAACGGCTCGGCAATTCGTCGCACAAAACTGACAAACTATAGTCCTCATTGAGATACATCAAATGGCTTTTAAATTTCTGAAATCGGTTCAGGCGTTTTTTGAGCAAACATCGATCAAAGGTCTAATTGGGACAAACACCAAAAAATTATACAAATTTTTGCAAACTTTGACGAATTTGTAAAATTAAACGAGTTGTAGGGCCGTAATCAGAGCCGGATTTAGAAATTTGGCGCCCTGGGGCACAGGTCCAGCCGTTTCGGAAAATGGTAATTGAGTTTCGATATTTCGTCTCTGGAACAGCTATGCAGGACGATTGCTTTAAAAAAAGTTCATGATTTTCAAAAAAAAATCACAATATAAAAAAAAGTTTTTTAAAGTCAATTTATTACATTTTTCACAAAATTTTAAAGCTCTTTATAGAAGCTTAAGCTTGGAAGTGCACGAATTCTTAAGAGGGCTCGACATCTGAAAAACATTTTTCCTAAACTTTCAGCTCGTTTACGAATCTTTATATTAACCAAATTGCCAAATTTGATAATGACTTTATAACCAATTTGATAATTTACGTTCAGAGAGGGAGGAAAGGCAAAATAATAAATTTTAATAATAGGTTATTTGAACCCCAGTTTTGCATTGCAATCGTATTATGTTTTTTTAATTATTTTTCTATAAATAAAAAATGTTATTAAAACAATCAGTTAAACACATTGTATAGAATTTTTTTCTTGCTATCCTGGGCGATATTCCCGACTGCCCCTACTGAAAATACAGCAATGGCCGTAATATTTTGATATGATCTATAAGACTATGGTATCTACCGTAAAAAAAATATCATGAAATTCGTCTAAAAATTTTTTTTAACACTTTATTACAAGAAAACAGCGCGGCCGATCTCTAGCAAAAACTAATCAGCACGATTCCCAACCAATATCTTTCGAACGGTTTTGGAATTTTCAAAATCGATAAAAAATTGCGGGCTAAAACGTAGACGAAACATTTTTCACTTTTCTGCTATTTATAAAGAAACGTCTCAGCCGACCGTCGCGCAAAACTGACAAACAATAATCCTCATCGAAAAACATCGAATGGCTTGTAAATTTTTAAAATCGGTCCAGCCGTTTTTGGGAAAAACGTTGATTTACGGCAAAAAATCTGTTCCCACGCACACACATGCACACATACTTTTTCCAAATCTAGTCTCATTCGATTCAGAATGGCTTGAAACGTCGAGAAAACATAAAATTAGCGAGTCGGATTTTTTAATGAAAACAAACTTCTCCTTCGGGAAGTTAATAACTAAGTTTTTTGCCATGTTATCTAATAACTTAATTACCATTACCTGGCTTTTCTAGCATAATGTCTAGCACTCAATTTCATTCCAACCAGTTGGCGTTCTAATTCGTCGACGAATTCACTCAAATAGAAATCCATTGAGTGTTTGTCTTTATCAGCACGTTTGTTAGAACTTTTCTTATGGACACTGCCACTACTAGATGGCCTTTCCTGGAACCAGATACAAATACGATATAATTCCTTTTAATACAAATTGAAAAATGACTGTTATTGGCCAAGAAAAACAGTAGATTTTTTTTACCTTGATGAAATACTTATCAATTACCACTTACCTCCTTTGTTGGACACGGTACTTTTTCATCGGAAATAGTTGATGTGCTCGAACTAGAATCTTTCAATTGGTCTTCCAAAAATTCTTCAGTCGTAGGTTCTACATTTATCGAGATTTTGGACGAACTACTGCTGGGGCTCCTGAAAAATCAAATACCTCACAAATCGACCACTGATCTGCCAGAAACTTTAATTCATTGTAGAAAAAAATAAGATGTCTTTGCTGTTCAAGAGATTTTACTAACCAGCTAGAGGTATGGACTCTCAACTTTACAGGAAAAGCAAAAATATATGAAGATATTTGAGATGTGGTTTTAGAGAAGTTGAAGAGTTGAAATTGACCTGTAAGAGATGCTGAAAAGTTGGAAGAAATCATTCTACTGTTTGTCTATAAAAAAAACTTGGTCAAATCCATACTGAAAATTGTGTTCCGTAAAAGATTTATTAGAACAACTGAAGGAAATGAAGATGACAGGAATAAACTTGGTCAGTATAGCTCTGTTTGGATCAGAGATATGCACTCTAATGGAAAGAAAATATGGCAAATGAAATTCTGCTGGAAAAAAGAGAAAAGACAACCTCTACTGTTTAAAGGAAACAGGATCAGACCCATATTGTTAAAATACTACTGTAGATTCGGTTGTCAGTAAAGTCATTTTTGTAACTGCCTTCAAACGCCAATATTAAATAGTGGTGTATGGCATTGTGCCTTAAGGCAAATTGCCGAAACTTCCCGTACCGTAATGAAAATATTCGAGAAATTTTAAACGTTTTCAAATATATTATTACAAATACTGTAACTTTCATTACTTTTGCTATTTCTCTTGTTATATCTGAGCAAATCAAATGTGAATCATAAATCAATTTATCTCTAGAACAATCGTCATTTCATTTCGATTTCAATTTAAAAAAAAAATAGTTGCCTGATTTACACAAAATTGAAAAAGTGCTCCCGTATAGTCACAGTCTAAACGTCATTTGCAAATAATTCTGTGCGACATTTTCACTTATACTGTGCTTAGCTTGGCGGCATTTTCACGTTTTTCAATAGTTTTCACATAATTGGAAAAGTGCTCGAGTACTTATACAGTCTAAACGCACTAGGGTAAACATTTGTACCAGAGTGGCGCTTAGACTGTGCTTAGCCTGGGTAATTTTTTGAATTTTTAAAAGATGTAAAATTTTTTATCCTCAAAAGCAATTGTTTTGTCAATACAAGCAGAAAGTTTTTTATATCATTCAAATCGGACGCTTAGTTCACTCAAAAACTGCCATTTTTTGCACATTTAGCTCTGTATCTTCAAAATGGCGGGACCTGTCTTTGCTAAAAACTAATCACCCCTTCCACCAATCATTACAAATTGAATATTTTTTAGATCATTCAAATCCGATAATCCGTTCTCTCAAAAACTCGATTTGTATTTTCTGCACTCTTTGCTCCGTATCTCCGAAACGGCTGGACCTGCCTCTGCCAAAAACTAATCAGCACTTATCCCTATCAATAGAAATCGAATATTTTTTGAACCATTCAAATCGGTTGATCCGTGTGCCCGAAAACGTGGACGAAAAAATGAGGACATACAAAACACACATACACACATCCATTTAGTTTCCGAGGTATGCCAGTAAAATATTCAGAATCCTTCAAAACGTCGAGAAATAAAATTTTCATTTTTGATTTTCGGCCCATTACTATAACTACCCTACGGGAAGTTAATAATAATAATAATAAACTATATAGTACTTACTTAAGATTTATTTCCTCTTTATCATCCGTCGACATTTTGACAAAAATATTAATAAATCTACCACAAACTTTCTGTCACCAAAACCCTGTCACATTTTTTTGCAAACTTTCGTTTTTTAAATATTTTTAAAATAGTTTCAAAATTAAGTACACAAAAATTTTTATCAAAAAAAAGTTGGCACAAATTGTAAATAATTATAAAATAAACTTTGACATTAGTAAAAAATATACAACAACGTCAATTGTTTTTTTAGAGATTTTTTTTTTATCTATCAACCCTTAGAAACTATGGGAGGAAATAATTAAACAAAAAATCTCCCTTCCAATTAATTTTATAACAGTGATGACAGATACAAGATTATATGGAGCTCTTTATATTTACATCAAATGTAATAATATAAAATTATAAATGCAATATACATAAAACAATGATATATATGTAAGAGATAGTGTAGATATTATGTAATTTAGTATATGGCTAATGTACCAGTTTATAAAGCCAATAAAATAATAAAAAAAAAAAAAAAAAAAAAAACCCTTAGAATAAAAATAACGTAGTGTAGACACAAAATTTATCAAATTAGTTGTTAGTGTAAATAATAAATAAAAAATTAATATATTAATTTATGTGTGATTTATAAGTACGTATTTATAAGATAGACAAAAAAAGTATAAATAGATCGCAATACGACCGCTTTGCCTTAAGGGGCACAACTAGTGTAACCGCCTAAAAAAAAATGTGATTTTTGGGAATTTATATTAAAAAAACTACTTTATCAATCATTTCAACATTTCAGGAATATATTTATACATGTTTTAAGAATACATAGTAAAATTTTTGAAGAAAAAAATTAAATATTTTTTAAGTTATCGTCGATCTCCAACGGCGCGACAAAAAAAGCCCTTCACTGCTACAGTGATTCCGTTCTTCTACGTGGATGAAATTTAAAAAAAAATTCTCCTTAAACTAGATAATACTGTCTGTAAAATGAACTACGATAAAGAAAAAAATCAATAATTGACAAAATGACGGCGTTTTTAGAATAAAAGGCGAATTTTACCCAAAATTTTGGACGTTTTTGGCCTGCCAAAATTCGATTTTGGATCCAATCAAAAAATCGATAGTTCAATTTACGGAGAACTTTATATAGAACATGTAAAAAAATGATAGTGATCGGATCATTTGTTTTTGGGTAATCGAGAAAAACGCGTTTAAAGATTAAATGATCGTTATACTATATACTCGTATATACTATATATATACTCTTTAAATGGCTGTGACTCAAAAACTATTTAAGATATCGATTTAAAATTTTGGTATGTTATTTTTAAAGGTATATCCTATCGAAATATGGAAAAATTGAAAAATCGATTTTTTGAAAATTTCACACTAGTTGTGCCCCTTAAATTTTAATCGTTTCCGCACTCCATAGAGTGCGCCACTAACTCTAGCACGTAAATTTACCCATAGATCTAGTTTATATTTCTAATTCAACTATGACCATTATCAAAAGCAATATTATCATTAGAATTCGAGTTATCCAAATCGTCTCTTTTACTTTTACTCAACACACCAACTCCCACACTATGATCCTGTTTGCTCAGCAATTTAGGACCACTTAAAGATATGACTATTGCTCCAAGAGGAGCTGTTACTATGATACTTAAAATGCTGATTGTCAAAATAATTTCTGCATAATGTTTTTCATCAGCTGTCGAACTGGCTGGTAGAAGGTTTAGGGCAACTGGACCAAGGGCAGCCTAAAGAAATAAAAGACAACTGGAGTTACCCAAATTCGATATATGTACAGTGGTACCCCGATGTACGAGCTAAAGAAACGATTTATTGCTTCGACATACTCACAAAATTCGAGCTTTGAGCAATAAAAGTTTTCTAGAAAAATGTTAATGACAAAATGAAATATAAACTAGTGGTGTATGACATCGTGCCTTAAGATAAATTGCTGAAACTTCCCGTACCAGAATTAAATATTTGAGAAAAGAAAATTAATAAACAATAAATATTGATCAATTATTAATAACAATTGTTTTAAATATTTTCAAAGAGATAATTATAATCACTATATATAATATCGTTCATAAAATACACAGTGACGATCTTATGGCTCAAAACACTTAAGAATGTTTACATCAACAAGAGATGCCAAATGAATCCATCTGAAAATATATTTCTTACGATTACAATAACGCATATGAAATATATACATTTTTAAACTGAATTGCAAATTTGAAATTCATATTTAAATTATAACACTTTGTAAACTTTCGAAAATTTTGAATACTAGAATTAAACATTCAAGCATAAAAAAAATAATAATCAATAAATATTGATCAATGATTGATAACAATTGTTTTAAATATTTTCAAAGAGATAATTATAATCACTATATATAATATCGTTCATAAAATACACAGTGACGATCTTATGGCTCAAAACACTTAAGAATGTTTACATCAACAAGAGATGCCAAATTAATCCATCTGAGGATATATTTCTTACGATTACAATAACGCATATGAAATATATATACATTTTTAAACTGAATTGTAAATTTAAAATTTATGTTTGAAGCATAAAACTTTGTATATTTTTGAAAATTTTGAAAAACATTTTTCTGAAAATTTTCAAATTTGTTTGAACCGTATAAGTGAAGTTCAAAAATTAAAAGTCGTGGTACGGAACCCAAAAATATTCTAACAAAATCAGTACTCGTATTTGAAATCTCTATAAAATATGTGATAATTTATTTAATTTTACTTTAATTACCCAGGCTAAGCACAGCCAAAGCGCCACTCTCGTACAAATGTTTACCCGAGTGCGTTTAGACTGTTTATGTTCTGGAGCACTTTTCCAATTTTGTGAAAACTATTGAAAAATGTAAAAATGCCGCCAAGCTAAGCACAGTATAAGTGAAAATGTCGCACAGAATTATTTGCAAATGCGTTTAGACTGTGACTATACGGGAGCACTTTTTCAATTTTGTGTAAATTAGGCAATTATTTTTTTTTTGAAATTGAATTCGAAATGAAATGACGATTGTAAATGTTCTGGAGATGAATTGATTTATGATTTACATTTGAGTTGCTCAGATATAATAAGATAGCAAAAATAATGAAAGTTGCAGTATTTGTAATAATATATTTGAAAACGTTAAAAATTTCTCGAATATTTCATTACGGTACGGGAAGTTCCAACAATTTGCCTTAAGGCACGATGCCATACACCACTAGTTAAGATTCGACACGAAAAAAACTCGTATGTCGGGGCACCACTGTATTTGTGAGTATTATATTACCTGTACAGTGGCTTTTGCCATCCACGACAAAGACACAAAAACCAATTCCTTCTTGTTCAAATTTTCATTGAACATAACCAGACTTGTGCAAGACACTCTCATGAACACACCAATTACTAAACATGCTAAACCACATAACAATATGTATGTATCCAATTCTGAAAACTGCAAAAAAAAACATTATGTTGGTTACCAAAATAATTTGTACTAAGTGCCTATTTTTACCTTGACTTGGGCACCAGCTGTAGAGAACAGGAGTGGTTCAAATCCGACCCACAAAATTGCAAAAAAGTCCACCACTGCATTTTTTTTAATATTCCAACCCTGCTTTTGGTAAAATACAGTGCTCACAAATGATGCTGTCACAACTGCTAATGGACCAGCTCCTGAAGTAACCAAATTGGTAATAATTGACAAAAACAAGGACATTGAATTCGCGGTTTAAATATTGATTAATATGATCACTGATGTGTATTTAGTTATTGGTTTCTAAGAAAATATTTTATTTTTGGTGTCACAAAAATTTCTGATAACTTTTCGAAAAGTTGGCATAAAGTTGTTTTCGAGAAACTAAGGCAATTGTGTCATAAATGCTCAAACTTTTAGTAAGATATTACTAACTTGTTTAAAGATTTTGCACAGTATGAAAATCATTTATGTTAACATCTTATTTTCCGTACCTTCAAATCCTACATAAGTAGCTCCAAAAACCGAAGTAACACCTCCAGTAAGCAGCATCAGAATCCTCAAACTAGCCAAATTTTTATCATCAGGATGTGGAAAATACTTCGCCAAAAATCCCCAAACTGCACCAAGACCAGCCCCACCGATTACACACACTGGCACTTGGGCAATTTGGTAACCTAAATAAATAATTATTAACTAGTGGTGCATGGCATCGTGCCTTAGGGCAAATTGCTGGAACTTTCCGTACTAAAAACTAAACATTCGATGAATAAAAATAATCAATTATCAATAAAAAAGATTCAATAATTTATTACAATTGTTTTAAATATTTTTATATATTATAATAATAATAATATTATAATAAATTAGATCATTTATTATAAGTACTGTAAATTTATAAGTGCTTAAATTGTGGGATTTGGGACCATCCCACCCCTTTGGTGATATGTAGTGATATTTAAAATTAGCCCACCAAACATTTTTTTTATACAATTTATTTTTGTTAATCGAGACTTTAATGTCTTATTTACAAAATTGATATGAGCAAAAGAATTAATACAAAAATACAAAAAAATGCAATAAATTGAATATAAAATGAAAAAAGAGCCCACCAAACATTACGACCATTTCTACACCCTTTGCGCTCCATTACTCCGAAACGGCAAAATTGCCTTTTGCAAAAACGCCTCGCGATCGAGTATAAACCGAATGTTTTTTCAATCATTCAAATCGGTTATCCCATACTATCGAAAATATCGAGGATATTTGTTTGAACCATATAAATAAACTTCAAAGTTGAAAATCTTGGTACGGAACCCAAAAAATTGACACAAAATGTGTACACATTATTAAAATCTCTATAAAATATCTAATAATTTGATGTGCATTTGTCTAACAAACATTTTTGGCCTCCAAATGGCTTTTTTTAAGGTTTTTTCATTGATAGTACATAACCGCTGGACCTGCCTTTCCAAAAATTTAAATAGTTCTTCGTGTAGCCAATACAAATAAAATTTTGAATTATTCAAATCGGACACTTCGTTGTCTCAAAAACTGTATTACTATTTTTGACACATTTTGTCCCGTATCTTCGAAACGGCTGGACCTGCCTTTGCCAAAAACTAATCAGCATGTCTACTTATCAATACAAATCGAATGTTTTTTGAATTATTCAAATCGGTTGATCCGTGTTCCCGAAATCGTCTACGAAAGTTTCTATCCGCACACACACATACTTTCTAATATATTTTCCAAGCATATTTTCTAAGCTATACCAAAATGTTCAGAAACCTCTGAAGCGTAAAAATATATAAAAAAATTCATTTTAGATTTATTTACGATTACTATAACTTTTTATACGAGAAGGTAAAAAAGACAGGGTGTAAAAGAGGTCAAGACAAAAATAAAAGTTACCTATTGAGTCATCTGAAAACAAAAGACTGCTCAGTATCCCAAAAACAGAAATGCTGGTAGCATCGTCTATGCCTGCAGCAGCCACAATTAAGGTAGGAATGCCCTTTTCGACTCCATAACCCTGTGCACTCAATCTGAACAACGTTGGCACAATTACAGCTGGTGAAACTGCTGCTATAAGACAACCTGAAAATAGACTTTGGTTATAAAAAATGCAACTGAATGGATCATTTTATTTCTATGTCTTTTACCCAGCATGAGTGACCACAACCAAGGCATTTCCAACCAGTAATGTCCCAAAAGAGTCACCACAATCCACTCCACTGCCCAAGGGACTATCCCCAATTTTAAAATAGCACCATAAAGTTTCCTGAATGCACCTGGATCCATTCCTAAACCTGCTCGACTTAAAATAACTACCAGGGCCATCTTGCGGAGTTTGGCGATGACTGGTGCGTTAGGAGTTCCTTCTATTGTTACCCATTTTAGATTCTACCAGGAAAAAACTTTAAAGTGCCAAATCAGTTTTTATGTATTTTTCTCCCTTACCTGGAATAGGATTCCGACCAAAAGCATTCCAATAAGTCCTGGCATTCGGAATAATATACACAGTTTTCCTGCTAAAAGTGCTACTAATGTCATAATGAATAAACCAAAGAGGTCGCCACCTGGTGCAGCCGTGAAACCAACCAGGAAGAATAATATTAGCCAGGAAAGGATAACTGAAATAGATAATTGTTTCGATAATTTTTTTTTTTGACGTTTTATTATTGATTTATTAACTTCCCGAAGTAGAAGTTTATGTTTTCATAAGAAAATCCGATTTGCTAATTTTATGTTTTCTCGCCGTCAAAAATTGAAAAGCTTTTAATTGTTTTAGTTTGCCTTACAAGATTTTAGGACATTTTTATAAATTTATCTGAATAACTCACAAATTTTATATCGCACACTCTTTTTTGGTTATTTCAGTAGAAACTAGATAAAATTTACATAAAATTCACATAAACAGTCTTATAAACTTTCATACAAAATTTTGTATGAATCCCATGTCAACTCGTCCTTATGTATCATCCTGGGTTTTCCATAACGGATTTTAAAACATTTGTTTCATTTTTTTTAATAATTTGAAAATTTTGTACCGTTCACTCTTTTTTAGTTATTTCAAGACAAACTAGATAAAATTTACAAAAATACCATGTAAACAGTCTTATACACTTTCATACAAAATTTTGTATAAATCCATGTACTATCCTGAGTTTTCCATGCAAGATTTCAAGACATTTATTTAATTTTTTTTAATAACTCGAAAATTTTGTATTGCACAATCTTTTTTAGTTATTTCAAGAGAAACCAGATAAAATTTACAAAAAATTCACATAAACAGTCTTATAAACTTTCATAAAAAATTTTGTAAAAATCCCATGTGAACTCTTCCTTATGTATCATCCTGAGTTTTCCATACAAGACATTTATTTCATTTTTCTTAATAACTCGAAAATTTTTGTATCGCGAACCTGTTTTTAGTTATTTCAGGAGAAACTAGGTAAAATTTACAAAAATTTCACATAAACAGTCTTATACACTTTCATACAAAATTTTGTATAAATCCTATGTGAACTCTTTCTTATATTTTATCCTTAGTTTTCCATACAAGATTTCATGACATTTATTTCATTTCTTTTAATGAATGGAAAATTTTGTACCGTGCACTCTTTTTTAGTTATTTCATGAGAAACTAGATAAAATTTACAAAAATACCATGTAAACAGTCTTATACACTTGCATACAAAATTTTGTAAAAATCCAATATCAGCTCATCCTTATATATTATCCTAATTGTAAGAATTCAGGATATTTTTTTACATTTTGCTTAATAACTCAAAAATTTTGTATCAAATACTCTTTACCCTTTATTAATTTATTGACGAGTATATCTATTATCTTACCAATTAGTGTCAAGGTAAGAATCCTTCTAAATCCTTTGGCAAATATTTTGGATTTCCATCGATCATGATTCGTTCTGTTTCCTGAAGATCGATTTTCGACATCGATATTGTCCACATTGCGTTTTTGAACATCTGTAAGAAAATTTGATAAAATAGAATAAAATTGCTTAATATAATATATGTAATTCTGGAAACTAGGTGCGAGTGAAATTTCGCCTTAAGGCATGTTGCATGTTCCTAATTATTTAGCACTCACCTAAAATATCTGTAGATCCGTACTTTGTTGTCATATCAATTTCCTCAGTAGGTTCGAAACTTTTATTTTCCATTTTATTTTTAAAATTTATTAAGTTATTTAAAATAATTATTTAACACTATAATTAAACAGAATCTAAATTTAAGAAAAAGAAACTTTTATAACTAAAAAAATTCAGAAATAAAAAGAGAAAAAAGAAAGAGAAAGATAGAAAAAGAGAAGAGGCAGAAATATTGTCAGAGGTAGAGAAATATTAAACAATTTTGCTCTGTTAATTTTGCACGACAAGCACTTTTTTCATATAATTATGAATATTTCCAAAATTTGTAAGAAAACTTATCGATTTTAGTATTTACTATCAAAGTAGACATAATAAAGCATAACGTATTAAAATTTCAACAATATAGAATCGATAGAAATATTTTAGAAATAATTTGGAATATGCTCTATTGATTTATCCCTTTGAATCTAGGATAACTATGTACTTTTCCCATAAATTATAAATATATCGAAAAATTGTGAGAAAACTTGTCGATTTTAATATTTGTTGTCGTAGTAGACATATTACAGTATAGTATATTAAAATTACCATTATTTGAAATCTATAGGAATATTTTAATAATAATTTGAAAAATGCTTTTTCATTTATTAATTTTCTATCGAGCATGTCGATGCACTTTTCTCAATAAATTCTAAATATTTCAAACATTTGTAAGAGAACTCGATTTTAGTATTTGTTGTCATAGTAGACATATTACAGTACAACATAGTGCAATTACAACATTTTAGAAACATTAGAAATATTTAACAATAATTTGAAAATACTTATTTGATTTAGCCATTTTGCATCTAGGATGTAGATGTTCTTTTCTCAATAAATTATTAATATATCAAAAAATTGTTACAAAACTTATCGATTTTAGTATTTATTGTCATAATATTCACATTAAAGTATAACATATTGAAATTACAACATTTTAGAATTGCAAAATGCTTTAATGATTTACCCATTTTGTATCTAGGATGTTGATGTACTTTTCTCAATAAAATGTACTTCTTTCAAAAACTTAGGAAAGAAATTTATTCCAATTATTCAAACAAATATTCAAAATAATAAATTATCATTCGTATTATTAAATAGTATAACCGATCTTGTAAAATAATTAATTAATGTATTTAAAACAAATATTCATGCTAATGATTTATTATTAATTTATGCATAAAAATTGGCTTGAACTAAAATTTGATATGAATCATTACCCAAATATTACTTTTTTAATTCAATTTAAATTATAAATAATATATAACTTACAACAACAATCTCTCTCATAAAAAATTTAATAATCTAATATTAAAACAAATCAGCTTAACACTTTTAAAAGAAATATTTTACAGAATTAAAATTAATATTTATTATTTAAACTAGATGTTGAATAAAGGTTTTGCAAATCACAATTATTGAATTGATATTAAAATAACTAGCACGTTTTAAACAAAAGCAAATGATTAAAAAAATAAACTAGTGGGGCGCATGGCATCGTGCCTTAAGGCAAATTGCTGGAACTTCCCGTACCAAAAATTATTTTTTTTTAATAAGATTAACATTTTTGAAAAAAAATTACTCTGAAAAAATAGATTTTTGAGAAACTATAAATTTTTGACAAAAACTGACTTTTTGTTGAAAAATTTATTTCTAAATATTTTGGAAATTTTGAACTTTTTTTCAAAACAATTCTACTGTTTTAAATGCATAGATACGAAATATCGAAGCGCGTAAGCGCCGCGTCGCCGTCTAACGGATAAACATTGGTACGGAACCCATAGGAATGTAAACAAAATTTATACTTATTGTTAAAATCTCTATAAAATATCTGATAATTTGATGTGCATATGTCTAATGTCTAATGATTATTGTTGACCGCCAAATGGTATTTTTTTTAGTTTTTTTTACTAGATCTCCGAAACCGCTAGACCTATTTTCATGAAAATTTGATAAGTGTTCATCTTGTACGCACACACACACACATACATCAATTTTCTCCAAGGTATGCCAACATATTCAGAAACGTAAAGATAAATAAAAATTTTCATCTTCGATTTTTTTGCGATTACTATATCTTACCCTACGCAAAGTTAATTATAAATAAATCAATTTATCATCTCCAGAACATTAACAATCGTCATTTCATTTCGAATCAAATTTCAAAAAAAAAATAGTTGCCTAATTTGCACAAAATTGAAAAAGTGCTCCCGCATAGTCACAGTCTAAACGCATTTGCAAATAATTCTGTGCGACTTTTTCACTTATACTGTGCTTAGCTTGGCGGCATTTTCACATTTTTCAATGATTTTCACAAAATTGGAAAAGTGCTCCAGTACATAAACAGTCTAAACGCACTTGCGTAAACATTTGTACCAGAGTGGCGCTTAGACTGTGCTTAGCCTGGGTGATTTTTTGAATTTTTAATCCAAAATTACAAAAAAAATTTTTTGAAAAAAAAATTCGAAAGAAAAAATTTTTTTTTCCAAAATCAATTATTTTGTTGAAACAAGCAGAAAGTTCTTTAAGTCATTTAAATCGGACACTTAGTTCTCTCAAAAACTGCCATTTTTTTAACATTTTGCTCTGTATCTCCGAAACCGCTGGGCCTACCTTTGCCAAAAACTAATCAGCACATCTCCCTATCAATAGGAATCGAATGTTTTTTAAACCATTCAAATCGGTTGATCCGTTCTCTCAAAAACTCGCTTTCTATTTTCTGCACTCTTTGCTCCATATCTCCGTAACGGCTGGACCTGCCTTTGCCAAAAACTAATCAGCACATCTACCTATCGATAGGAATCGAATGTTTTTTAAACCATTGAAATCGGTTGATCCGTGCGCCCGAAAACGTGGACGAAAAAACGCGGACATACAAAACACACACACACACACACACACACATCCATTTTTTCTGAAGTATGCCAAAATGTTCAGAAACCTTCAAAACGTCGAGAAATGTAAAAATTTTTGATTTCGATTTTTGGACGATTACTATAACTTACCCTACGGGAAGTTAATATAATAATATATATTTAATGTTTAAAATTTAAACTATTGCACAACAAATGATAAAAAATCACAAGAAAAACTGTTCCTTTGTAATTATCATCTGCGAAAAAAATTCGCACTAAATATTTCGAACACGAAACCGTCACATGTTGAAATTTCATTCGATTTGATGGAATTTGTTTCCGTGACGTATATACACGTCATTGTGATTCGGGCGACAAATTCAAACTAATTGGCAACTTATTAACACAATTTGAGAGCAGAAATACAATGTTGATATATACACAAATATATATATATATATATATATATATATATATATATATAAATTTCAAATCTTATCATCACTTGATATCATGAGTGTTTATCTTTTTTTTATTTAGCAACTCGTTCGAATTTTAAATATTTAACTAGTGTTGTATGATAGTAAAAAATGTATTTTTAGAACATTAGAATTTATAAATGAACATGTTAATAATTTATTTATTAACCAACTTATTATTTTTACCAACTATTATTTTAAAATCATAATGCGAATTGCAATACAAGAATAATTTGCAATATAAGAAGAAGAGTACACTATATTTTTTAAATTATTTTTAAAATATTTTTAACCATTCTAAAGTATTGAAATTTTGATATTTTATACCTCAATATGTCTACTATGATAGCAAATACTAAAATCGATAAGTTTTCTTACAAAATTTGGAAATATTTATAATTTATGAAGAAAAGTACACCGACGTCCTTGATACAAAAATCAAAACAAAAAGCATTTTTCAAATTAATAATAAAATATTTTTATCGCATTTAAAGTGTTGTAATTGTAGTATGTTATACTTTATTGTGTATACTACAATAACAAATATGAAAATTAATAAGTTTTATAACAAAATTTTGAATTATTTAAAATTTATTGGAAAAAGTACCGCGACAACTTGGATACATAATGGATAAATCAAAAAGCATTTTTCAAATTATTAGAAAAATATTTTTATCGCATCTTAAGTGTTGTAGTTTTAGTATGTTATACTTTAATATATCTACTATGACAACAAATACTAAAATCAATAAGTATTCTAACAAATTTTTCAAATATTTGTAATTTTTTTTAGAAAAGTACGTGGACATTCTTGATACAAAATATATAAATTATAGGAGCATTTTTAAAATTATTATTAAAATATTTTTTTCGCATCTAAAGTGTTGTAATCGTAGTATGTTATACTTTAATATGTCTACTATGATAACAAATAATAAAATCGATAAGTTTTCTCACAATTTTTTGAAATATTTATAAGTTAGTGAGAAAAGTACATCGACATCTTAGACAAAAAATAGATAAATTAAAAAAGCATTTTTCAAATTATTAGAAAATATTTTTATCGCATCTTAAGTGTTGTAGTTTTAGTATGTTATACTTTAATATATCTACTATGACAACAAATACTAAAATTGATAAGTATTCTAACAAATTTTTGAATTATTTATAATTTATTGGGAAAAGTACCGCGACGTCCTAGGTACATAAAACAGAAAGCATTTTTTAAAAAAATTAATAAAACATGTTTTTCGCATCTAAATTATTGTAATTTTAATATATAAAACCTTAATGTGTTGACTATGATAACACATACTAAAATCGGTGAGGTTTCTTACAAATTTTGCTAAATTTTTGATTACTTTAAACACACTTTAAAAATTATTATAAAATTTTTGATAGATTTAGTTTAGATTTGATTATTTTAAACATCTTTTGAAATCATTAATATACAATTATATATATATATATATATATATATATATAAATATATATATATATATATATATCAATATTTTTTATTATTTTAATTAAATTGTATTGTAGAATACATTACATGAAAACGATATCGGATTATTTTTATTTTTGTGTCAACAGATGTTGCCAGGAATAAAATATACATAAATTGACTCGTTTTTTCCCCAGATTTCTGTGTTTTATTAAATTTCAGTAAAATGTAATGTATTGAAACGATATGCTTTTTAATTTAATTCAAAATTAATTACAAAATGTTTTTTAATCATTAATTATGCCAAAATAGATTTGCTTTTAATTGTGACCAGATAATTTTATTTTTATATAATTTTTATTAGGTTTTTTTTTAATCCAATTAAAATCGATAAAAGCGTCAAAATAAAATGCCGATTAATTTTTTTCTGTGAAGATTAGTCGAGCAGTTTCTTTGCAATAAAAAAAATTTGTAGAAAGTTCTAATAGGCATGTTAAATAAAAAGTTAAATAGCTGAATTATATGTTATTATTTTAATTTTATTTACAATATTTCAACCATAAAATATTATTATTATACAGTATATTTACAAAACATTTAACATCTTAAATATTAATAATAAATCTATGTTTTGTAACTAATATATTTTTACAATTTAATACGTTTAAGTCCGATAAATTAATATGTACAGTTTAAAATTAAAATTAATATTTAAAACAGAATAAAATTTAATTTGCAATGCCAAGTTAAAATATAGTGAAATCGATATTTAATTTTTTAATATGTAAATATAACAATTATATGATATTTAATATAAAACTGAAATCCGTAAATAAAAATGAATTAGAATGAATGTAATTTGAAAACAAATATGAATATGTAAGTTTCTTTATAATCAAAAGTATATATTAAAATTTACAAAAAAAAAACCTAAACACATTCGCAAAATTCATAATAGCTGGAATTTTTGTAATACTTTAGTACTAGCATTTACAATTAGTTCATAATGCAAAAAAATATGTTATTTACACAAAAATATTATTTACACCTCATTCACTTTTCCAAAGTTTCTAAGTTTGTTTTTATTAATTTAATTTTTGTCACCAAAGCACTTCAATGTCAAAAATATTTATATGCAAATAATTTTTTTAAATTTAATGCACTTTTTTATTTAATTATTATAATTATTAACAATTGCACAAACGCCATATGCAAAAAATGAAATTGTTGAAGTTTGGAACTCGCGCTTCTAACTGGAATAAAAAAATGCAAAAGTTAAAAACTTAATTTATATTAATTACTTTTGTTATTAATCTAATTATTTAAAAGTGCAATTGAAACATCTAAAGTGCAACGTGCATAAAGAAACATTCGCTAAAAACATGCTCGGTGGAATAAATATTAAAACAAGTTCGACGGAATAGAAACAACCAAGTGCAAGTTGTGAAAAAACGCTTATTGGGGCAATTCTGCAGTAACAGAGCTCATAAAATAACGTCGTTATGGCAACGTTCTCTTATGCTTGTTCTTGGCAGTGAAAATTATGAAAATGTTCACCTATTTGCTGTGCGATCAGGCGTTCTCCCTTGCTTTGTTTATATGTAAAATACGCCTGATCGCACAGCAAACAGATTGGTATTTTTATAATTTGTTCAGTGTTCACTCGCCATGTAAACCATTTAAAATATATAATAAAAGCTGATGCTCATGAACTTACCTAATAAAAGTGCTTCTCTATGATCCAACAATTGTGGCATCCTGTATTGCATTTCACTCTGCAAACCTCTGTCGTATTCGTCTAAAACTCTTTCGTCTAGTAAATTATCTACATTGCTTTCTATATTGTGCTCCTCACCTGGAAATAGATAACTTTCATTAAAATTCTACATTGGATAACAACTTTTTAGCTAAATTTTAAACAATTTAGCAGACAACTCCTGTTGAGCCAAAAAATTGATTCTAACAATTTATCAACTAGACAAAGTAGAAAAACAAGGAGAAAAATATCAGTGTCATAATTGGTTACTTTTCGGGCACATAGTGAATACTTGTTATAGCAAAAATAAGATTGTAAAAGTATTTTAAGGAGGGAACCTGCTTTAGAGGCTTAAAAAATCGTTTTTTTGCAAAAATGTTTTCCAAAACTAGCCAAGAATATATCCCTAAAATTTCAGAAACAATTTCAAATTATTTTCGGAGTTACAGAAAAACGAAAACTTCGACACGCGATTTCTCGGTTTTTAATTTTTTCGATTCTTCCTAATTGGCGAGAAAGATAGGAAAAAAAACTAGACATTCCATCGAAACGTGACAAAATTCGTTGTATTCAGGATTAAATTCTATTCTAGTTGAACCTAAAAAAACTAAAAAAAAAGTTATAATTAACCCACTTTTTAAACAATCTAAAGTGAAATTTTGTATCAAAAAACATGATTTTTTTCAAGTTGCGAAAAATTGTTGAATTTCTCATTTTTTCCTAGATTTTTTAGGTTCAACTAAAATCTATACTATTGAAAATATATATTTGTTTTGATTTTTTGTTTCGGATAGAAATTGTGACTTGTATCTTTCCTGCCAAATGATACCTGCATATTATGACATATATTTTAATAAAAATTTGAGAACTAGTGGTGTATGGCATCGTGCCTTAAAGCAAATTGCTGGAACTTCTCGTACCGTAATGAAATATTCGAGAAATTTTAAACGTTTTCAAATATATTATTACAAATACTGTAACTTTCATTATTTTGGTATGATTGTTATATCTGAGCAAATCGAATGTAAATCATAAATCAATTTATATCCAGAACATTAACAATCGTCATTTCATTTCGAATTCAACTTCAAAAAAATAATTGCCTAATTAATTTTCACAAAATTGAAAAAGTGCTCCCGTATAGTCACAGTCTAAACGCATTTGCAAATAATTCTGTGCGACATTTTCACTTATACTGTGCTTAGCTTGGCGGCATTTTCACATTTTTCAATAGTTTTCACAAAATTGAAAAAGTGCTAACATGAACAGTCTGAACGCGCTTGGCTAAACATTTGTACCAAAGTGGCGCTTAGACTGTGCTTAGCCTGGGTAATTTTTAAAATTTTTAATCCAAAATTACAAAAATATTTTATGGAAAATAAAATAGATGTAATATTTTTTCAGTTTCAAAAGCAATTGTTTTGGTAGATAGTTTTTTAGATCATTCAAATTGGACGCTCAGTTCACTCAAAAATTGCCATTTTTTGCACATTTAGCTCTGTATTTTCGAAACGACGGGACCAGCCTTTGCCAAAAACTAATCAGCACATCAATAGCAATCGAATGTTTTTTAAACCATTCAAATCGGTTATCAGTGCGCCCGAAAACGTGAACGAAAAAATGCGGACAAAACACACACACACACATCCATTTAGTTTCTGAGGTATGCCCCTTAAAAATGTTCAGAAACCTTCAAAACGTCGAAAAATGCAAAAATTGTCATTTTCGATTTTCGGCCCATTACTATAACTACCCTACGGGAAGTTAAAATTTTTTGAGTCTATTATTTACCTCCTCCGGCTGCCAACCTGGCAACACATTTAACCCTCATCGATCCCCCCTTGGCAAAATGCCCACTCTGCACAGTAAACTTCAAACCCAACCAGGAGCTGGACAAACCTGACAAAACCTGACCAGTTTTATCGGAATACGAAGAACTTATAGAATTGCTGCTTAATTGTGCTGGAACTGGCTGGTGCAAAAGGGCTGGACCTCTCACCTAAGAAAAATAAAATAATGGAAATATTTGGTTGATAGTAATTGACAGTAATTTTTTTAAACAGAACATACCAGTTGGTCGTTGATGTACCACTTTAAAATAGCTGGTGGATGTGATCGACCTGATGTACAGTTTAGTTGTAGTTCTTCACCAAGACCGTAACGGTCTCGGCCTCCTAAAATCCTTGGACCTTCTCGAGGTAAATCTAAAAAAAATAATAAAAAAAATTGATTGAAGTGAAACTTATTTGCTACTTATAAGATGGCATTTAAGTAAAAATAAATACGTCATATAACAATTTTGAATAATGTTTATCAGTAATATGGTAACACTCGTGATGCACACATTTATTAGTGTCAACCATTATACACATTTATATACTGACAAATTATAAATTATATATTTATAATAACATTAAAAATATGTATAATATTCAAAGACAATAATGTAATTAAAGCCATACTTCAAACATGACATGATCGGTTTGTCATTGTAATAAGCACTTAGAAACGAACCTTCATTAGAGATATGAAGTAATTGCTGATTATGTTAAACAAAGCCTAAACAAATATTGTTTTCGCGACTTCACTCATTGTGTAATAATTGTGTTTGAAGAACTTAATGTAATTAAAATTAACATACATTCATTAACTGCTTGTATTTTTTTTACTTTTTTGCGACGAATCATTGGCAGTCGACTCTTATATTATCTTATCTGCCGTAACGCACTTCCGTTGCATTTGTACGGATTTACACCCTAGTCGCGCCTAAAGAAGTTTTACTTCAAAAACATATACAACCCTAAATGTTCACCTTGCAAATTATTTGATTACCAAAATGACTTTTACGAAATAGGGGTTCGTTGTTGGAGGGTAAAAATTTGGGGCTGCGTGTATTCTTTAGCCACGAGTTCTAAAAAATAAAATAAAAAAAAAAAATTATGTAAATCGGTCAAGCCGTTTCGCAGGAATATCGGGACCACATGATCAACTCAATGACTCATAATTTTAACAGTATTGACCAAAGTAAAAACGCAAAACTTGAGAATCAAATTCAATTCAATTATTTTCTTTTGATGAGAAAATAATTGAATTTTTGGATTAATTTTATATAAAAATAATATAGTAAACTTTGTAATAAAAGCAAAACATTTATCATAAAATATTTTCATTAAATAATAATACTTCTACTTTTTAATTTTTACTTTTGCTATTTCCATTCGAGAATTAATATTATATCAGGTAGTTCGATTAGCATATTATTACTTTTAGACAATTATATAATTGTGTAAAAATAAAAATTTAATACTTTTTGCTGCTTAAATACTATTGACGTCACTGATATATTTTGCACTCTAAAGTATTGTTATTTCAGGCTATGGAAAAACCAGATTAAATGTATTTTGTTTCGTGTATTTTTCGGTATGTATATTCCTGATTGCCGTCATTCACGGCCAAAGATTGTCGTAGTTAGAAATATCACCCCTTACTATTCAATAAATTATACATTTGAGCTATTCACACTTGTATACAATTTCATTGTTCTGTATCTTTGAAGTAATACTTTGGTATTTTCTGGGAAAAAACCGTATACCTAAAATGTCATAAAACTGCCTGTGAGGCGAGAAAGCGATAACTTCCTTCCCAAAGCAAAAACGCAGTAACAGATTTAGTACCAGTTTAGGGAAGTCGGATATGACAAATACGGTGAGACAACTCCACTCGGATTCACTCCGAGGGAGGAGTTGTATCGGAGTGATAACTCCGGAGTGTGTTACCCATCTATATATATATATATATATATATATATATATATATATATATATATATATATATATATATATATATATATATATACTTTATCACCAGCTCTCTGTCTATTTTCATTGACAAAGCCCTCAGTATAAATCGCCCTGAACAGGGCTTATCCTAAAGGTACCGTAACGTGTAAACCTTCAAAGCACATTCGGATGTAATGGATGAACATCAATATTGCTCTTACTGAGGTGCAAGTAGATAAATTGAGATAGGGTTTCAAAAAAATTACATTTGGAAAGGATTGAAAATAGTAAAAGATATAAGTAAGTAATAGTAATAAAGATATAAGAAAGTATTCAACTTGTTAAGTTATTATTGAAGTAAAACTTCTTTAGGCGCGACTAGGTTGTAAATCCGTACAAATGCAATGGAAGTCCGCTTTTTAAAGAATGGGATTATATCGAAGCAAAAAAGTAAAAAAAATACCATCAATCAATGAATGTATGTTGATTTTAATTACATGAAGTTCTTCAAACACAATTATTACATGATGTGTGAAATTGTAAAAACAATATTTGTTTAGAATTTATTAATCAGCAATTACTTCATTTCTCTAATGAAGGTTCATTTCTAAATTCTAATTACAATGACAAACCGATCATGTCATATTTGAAGAATGACTTTAATAACACTATTGTTTTTAAATATTATACGTATTTTTAATGCCATTATAAATATATAATTTATAATTTATCATTATATAAATATGTATGATGGTCGACACTAATAAATGTGTGCATCACGAGTGTTACCATATTACTAATAAACATTATTCAAAATTGTTGTATAATGTATTTATTTTTATTTAAATGCCATCTTGTACAGTAGCAAATAAGTTTTACTTCAATCACGTGTAAACCTTTTTTTTTTAATATACAGATTTATTTCAACTTACAGACAACTGTGATGACACCTTCGCCTTGTACTGAAGCAAAAGAAGGAGCCTCTGCAGAAACCTCACACCGATAAAGACCACTCGTCTTCAAAGTAACTGCCCTTAAGAAAACTTGTTTGCTGCTGGATTTGTGGTGCTAAAAACCCAAAAACAACTTTCACCACTATTTTCACTTCAGCAGAATTTTAATCATGTATCTATTAACTCACCTCGACTTTTACCCCTTCGACTCTGTAACTGTGCAGGGCCGGACTGGCACCAGGGACGTATCTGAAGAACTCCTCGTCGTCCTTGTACCATTTAACAGAATACAAAGTTTCGCCTTGTAAATCGAAGAGGCATTGCAGAAGCGCGGATTCGCCCCTGGGGACGACTGCTGGAACTAGAACTCTCACTAGACGAAGACATAAGAGACCTGAAAATAAAGGAAATATTTTTATATTTATACTAACTGTACTTGCTATATAAAACATTTCTCATATATAAAAATGAATCGCAAAATGTGTTGATAAGCGCATAACTCAACAACGCCTGGACCGATTTGGCCAATTCTTTTTTTTAAATGTTCGTTGAAGTCCAATGATGGTTCTTACGTCAAGAAAAAATCGAAAAATTGCCCGGTAAACCCAAAAAAACAGCCCTTTTCTTCTTCTCATACAAACGTTTTCTAACTAAAACGTAGAATCAATTTGAGCTTTATTGCTATTATATAAAGTTCATATGAAATTACAAGCACTCACTGTATACTCCTTCTAAACGATTACTCGGATTTTGTTAAATCTTTCTAAGGTTTGTTAAGGAAATTTTCTAGGATGTATGTGATTTTAAAGCACTGGGATGTATGTGCAATATTGTAGAAATGAATGGAAAAAATTGCAAAAAACGACATGTCATTGTTTGCATTGTAAATAAATAAAAACTATCATCTGCCAAAAATTTCAATTTACTTATGAACCTAGACAATATTAGAATATGTATAATAAATTTATGATTATGAATAAGAAAAATGTAATGACTACATTATTATTGCCAAAAAGCAGCTGAGATTTGCTAGAAATTAAAATAATATAAAATACAGTATATGGGTACAGGACAACGTCTGTCGGGTCATCTAGTTTGTTATATAATTTGAATCTTTTAACGTATTTGAGTAAAGTATAAAAAACATTTGGCAAGTTTATATAAAATGAATCAGTCTTTGATATTGTCTTGAAAAAAGTCTCTATTACATCGCGGTATACTCATAAATAGCTTTGGAAATTGACGATCATTCTTAAAATATGTATTTGTTGGTGAAGTACATTTATTTATAATATATCCTGTATCTTTTGAATCATGTGAGTAAAGTATATGAAATATTTGGCAAATTTTTTCCAAATTAGTCAGTCTATAATATTTTCTTATACCCAAAAACCCTACAGCAACTTGGTATACTTGTAAATTGATAAAAACTAAGATGCAACAATTATAATTAGTATGTTTATAAATTAATGGACAAAATAAATTTTATCACCCAAAAGATATCAGTTTGTTATTTTTGTAAGCATAATAAAAAAATCTTGCTCAAAAAATCAGATTCAACGTTTCGACGTCTAAGTTTGTCCTTCTTTTTTTAGGAATTGTTATAAAAATATTTTTTGAAGAATCAAATATAAATATATAAAAAAATATTATTAGACAGATTTTAAACCGTAACTAGAGATATAATTATTATAATAAAAATGACAGGACCTTCTGAAATTTATTTTAATATTATTTTATTAACACGTTAATCGTCTGATAAGATCAGTTTTTTTACATGGTAACTTTTTTTTAGTTAATTTAGTTAAAAATGTATCAAAAACCTTAATGTATTAACAATTTTTTTTTGCCAAAATTCATGAAAAAACTGAATTTTTTGTACTTCACTGGCATGGCTCATATAGAACTTATAAGTGTCAGACACAAATGACTGACATGGCGATTAACACGTTAAAAATATTTTCATATAAAAATTGTTGGAACAAAATAACACTTATCTTATTTAAATTTTTAAAAAAAATGTTTTTATTTAACGTTTTGAAGATAAATTTTTTTTGCTTCGTCAGGAATTGTTAAAAAAATGTTATTTTTATTAATAATCTCAATTAAATAAAATTTATTTACCTTAGAACAATTTCAATCCGTAATTAGATACATAGATAATATTTTTTTCAAATTTGTTTTGAGAAACTTAAAAATTCTGAACAAAAGCAAAATTTTTCAGAAACGTTTTAAGTAAGAAATTTTATTAATTTTTTGTTTTGATAAATAAAATGTTAGCAATTTTGTAAGTCATAAATTAAAGTTATATAAGATTTGTATTTTATTATAAGATTTTACTCACAAGATAATTACAATGCACGTCTTAGCACAATATTTATTAATTGCGAACTGTTTTCTTTATCAGATAAAAATAATCAAAATTCATCAAATCTTTGAAACAATCGAGATATTTATGAGATAACTAATTATCTCATACTTGTCCATGTTATGGGAAAATTTTTCTATGTTATTTGAATACAGAAAGATAAGACAGCTAAAACTATAAATAAAATCGAGCTATTTTATAAGATATTTTTAAAACTTATCAAATTGGAGTAATTATTTTATAAAGAAAGATAAAAGTGTAGTTTTATCCGTGGTCTATTCTCGGTTAATCTTACTCTCTTATATCATGCTGAATATAGAATATTTGTTAGTATATCAATTAATAAGAAAAGTACCATTTAGAAAGATAAGAGTTATTCTTATCCACAGTCTTTCTTATTATTATTCTCAGCTGGACTATCTCTCTTATCTTAAAATATACTTAAGATATATTAAATCTTATATTATGATATAGGACATATCTTTATATACTACTCGATAAAAAAAATCTTATGAGATACGATTATTTTAAATTAGAGTACTTTTAGTTTAGTTTATTCGTCGTTATTTTTAGGTCGTCATCATTCTGTTGTGTTATTTTGAAATAAACTCATTATCCCACTTGACTTATTTAAAAATATATATATTCTTGCACTAATAATGAGATAAGAACGACTTTTACTTGAACTTATATTTATTTTAAAGTAAATTTATTTTTAAAAATAATTTCGTAAATTTTATACATATAGGAAAACATGAATAAGTTATCTTATAAGAAAAGACTCTTATACAAGATGCAAGACATTAAAAAATAGACTTTTTATAATTTTGGTTATTAAGTGATTAATATTTTTTTAAAATTCTTCATATGTCTATTTACTCCAGTGTTCCCCTATTCATATATCAAGGGCCCCCATGTGCCCCTTTTTAGGGGTCGTGTTGTTCAACACACAATGAAGGGCTTTCGTATAATTGAAAGGATCTTTGGCTAATCCTCTGTTGTGTTTACCTTATATATATATATATATATATATATATATATATATATATATATATATACATAATATTTAACACGTCCGTCTTTAATAAATATTCTGTATGTTGTGCGAATAACACGTTTGATGCATAATTTAAGATTAAATGTCAAAGGATAGGATTTAATTGTTAAATAATTAAGAGATTTGTATTTTGTATATAAATCGTGAGTAACTTACAATAAGATCAATTTCAGTATAATAAAATAATGTGTAATTTTTTGTAAATATTTACATTTAAATTCCAAATTTCTGATTAATTTGCTTTGCCAAAAATTGATGATTTGAAGAAAGTTTGTTGAAGTTATTTTTATACCAGGAATCTCTAACATCCAAGAAAATTCAATTTAAGATTAAAATGTTATTTTTCCAATCAATGTACAAACACTAGTAGCTAGTAATAATTTAAAAATGCATAAATATATATTTAAGTTTGTTAGTAATACTAAAATTAATTTATTAGTTAATTATTCAATAAGAATTTGTAGTAAGCAATTATATGAATGGCATCTGGCCTTATGATGTATATCAAGAGCCAATAAATGAAAAAAATAATAAAAAAAAGATTAAAATGTCATTCATAATTAGTTATTTTTTTAAACTAGAATATTTTTTAGGAACAAAATGTTTGTCGGACCATCAAGTATATATATATTAGGGTGGTCCTTAATATGGATATAGCCAAATTTCTTTGCTCCCAGAGGCTAAAATGTTTCCAAATTGATACAAAAAAAATTATATAAAAGTATTAAGTCTTAATATTAACTTTAAGACAGTCCGCACTCCAACTAAAGTTTCTTATGGAAATAACATGGGTAAAATTCAACATTTATTTTTTAGAATTTCATAACTTACCTACAAGTGAATCAAAATTTTGGGAATAACATTGTATTTGCTTATTTTGATCATAAATAAAAAAAATACAAAAAAAATTGATATATTTTATAAAATAAGTATTTACTTAAGAAGAAGAACCAAGAAACTTTGGTTGGAGTAAAAATTCGAAAATATCCATATTAAGGACCACCCGAATATATATATACATACATATATATATATATATATATATATATATATATATACATATAATGACCTTTTACCTCGATTTCTATTTATATTTTCCATACAACAATTTGGCCTCGTAGTAATGAGTTTTTATTCATGAAAAAGACTAAATGATGATGTAGCTATTATTAGCTAAATAAAAGAATTTCTTTGGGCAGTGATTATAGTAATAATAGTTATAGATTACACCAAATAATTTGAAAATAATATGTATGTAGATAGTTTTGTAAAGAAAAATAGAATTATTAACATCTCAGTTTAATTTAAATTTAAATCTTATCTGGATTTTGTATAAAGAAACAATGAAATTTTTTAGCCTTAAATTTGATTTTTATTTGTTTATTTAAATAGTAATAAAAACTGTTAATATTTTTTGGCGACCTTAGTTATACTGCTGAATGATGACACATACTTAGAGTCGAAATGTGCAAACAATAGTTATTGCATTTTATTTTATTCTTATTGACTGCACACATAAAATATATGTAAAAATATCAAATTATTTTGTACGATTTTGTACGAAATATCGATTACTTATTTTTTTAAAACAGAAAATTTCTCTCATCATTTTTTTAAATATCTAATATATCAATAAAAAATGTTAACACTCTTTTCACTATACAATTTTACAATAAGAAATGAATATAAAAATGGTAAAACATATATTTAATAACATCAGATGTTAGTTCATTAATTTTGAATGCAAACTAATAATTTGTGGAATTTAAGATTTGTTGAATGATGACACATCTAGTAACGAAAGGTACAGTATATATATATATATATATATATATATATATATATATATATATATATCGCCATACTTCTAAATTCAAAACGATAAGTCCTTTATTCCTTTCTCTCTCAAAAAGTTTCTCAAGAGAATGTATAGAAGAACATCTTATAAATATTATACAAGTTTTGGCTCCGGAACAAAGGTTAACCTTTGTCACTTTGCATTATGACAAAGGTAGCCCTTTTGACTC